TGAAGCTGGGGGATATATATATATATATGGGGACTGCCTGTTAATCAGTCACTGCTTTCTTTCGGTGTTAGAGTATATGTGGAAACTCAATATATAAAACTGAACCTTTCTTTTTAAATTAAATATCTTGAAATATATTAGACAATAACAAGGCACAATAGCCTTAACTAAAAGATGAAGTGTCACTTCTTAAATATGGGTTTTTCTTAATAAGTGTACTTCTCTACCCCTGCCACAGCAGGTAAATGTGGAAATAATAGCTGCCTCTGGCTTACTAGGAATGGTAATTAAGTCAGCATATATTCAACACACTTTACCCTAGGCAGCTGAGTTTTAAGGAAGAAAGGGGAGAGAAAAAAAAGGTTGGGAGGGAAAAAAAAGGGAAGAAGGAAAGAACAAAAGAAAGAAGGAAAAAGGGAGAAAGAGAAGGAAGACAAAAGATGAACCAAGGAAAACATTATTCTTTCAGTTATACAGAGCAGAGGCAGATGACTTTAATTTCCACCTCCAAGAAACACCACATAGCTATGATCTCCAAGGATGGGTTCTAATTTTATACATTATTAAATACAGGCAACTCCATTAGGCTTTCTTGGCCAAAGCAACTCACAGCTTCTCTGCCTCAGCTTCCAAGAGGGCTGAAACCAGAAGGCAGCCTTCACTCAGACTGGATGTTTGCAAGAGATACCGTCTGCACATTGCTTTGAACCTCTCTCCTGGCTCCCATTCTACTGTCTGACACTTTGTTCAGACCCATTTCCTACTCATCACACCAGCCGCTTCTATCAGGCATTGCACAGTTGCACATAGGTGCTGGAGAAAGACTACAGTCTTAGGAAATCTGATTGCATTAGCTTGGAAAGGTGTGAATTTTCTCTCTCACAACTGAGGAAGGCTCTGTCAAGTGAATATACTACCATCAAACCACAAATGAAGGGGACTGAAGGCTTCTCTTATGCATAGAAGCAGAAGGTGAGAGAGACAGGCCAGTCATCTGGAAAACAGATAAAAGGTATGAAAATCCACCACATTTTTCTCCTTTTACTGCTGATTTACTGCCTACCCTCAGCCTGAACCATCATTTGGTATCAGTCCCAGAGCTGAGACCATTGGAGTAACATTGTCTTTTGGCAAAGCCAAGTAGCTAGTGTTATGGCACCATTCCTAGAAAAATTGTTTAGCAGAAGAGCTGTACTTTTGGAAATGGCATTTCAGTCAAGCAGTGTGGAATAATCACAGATCGCAGAGTTTTCTGGCCAACTGCTGAAATGAAGGAAAGCAGGATGTTCTTCTGAGGAATAGATCTTTCAAAGGACCTTGGATGTACAAAGCAGCCACCTTCGGCTTAAATATTAATAAAGCTAAAGAAGACCATATTAACTCTGCAGAGTTACACTGACAACATCAATATTCCTTTACCTCATCCTTTCATACAAGAACAAAAGAACATGTATTAAAAATCAAAGGACAATAATTCTGGGACAAATAAAAAGATAAAATCTTAATATTTTATGCCATGGATCATTAATATGTGTGATTGTGCTCTAGGAGGACATGGGATCAGACACTTTCACTGGATTTTAAAAGGGGTATGTAATGTTAGGGCCATTAATAACATTACCCTATGTATCTTAGATAATGATGAGTGTTATCAAATCTCCTGCCTTATGTCATCCATTGATTACTTGTGGAAAGCAGAAAGATTTCTCATCCTCCAATTAGAAATGCCTGCCATGGCTACTTTACTCTCCTACTGTTGATTGCTGTAAAATCCTCAGTCATTAATCATATCTCAAAGGCCTGTGAAGTGAATTCACTTCACTGGTAAAGATTCACATAGACTAAAAGTGAAGGTTTGGAAAAAGATTTATCATGTAAATTAAAACCAAAACCAAGCAAGACTGTTTATTCTCGAACCAGAGGAAGTAGAATATAAGTTTAAAATCTCTGAAAAGGAAAGTTATTAACTATTGATAAATGGATCAATTTTATGGGAAGATGTGAAAATTTTAAATATATATACATTGAACATGAGACTACAAAAATACATAAATCAGAGTCTTACAACTAAAGACAGATATAGATTTATATAATAATAAATTTAAACACTCCAATTTCCTCAACAGAGATATATACAAAAAAATCAACAAAAAAATCTGAGTTTTGCATACTAAAACCAAAACTAGTAGTCATTTACAAAATATCTGGTCCAACAGCAGCATATGACATTCTACTCATATATAAAAGAGAAACCAGATATCTATAAGTTTTTAAAAATTAAAATCATGATTATAGGCAACAGAGACATGGCTGAGGGTATCACAATCCCAAACTTGAAACTATACTGCAAAGCTACTGTGATAAAAACAGCATGGTACTGGCAAAGAAACAAACCTGAGGATCAGTGGAATAGATGAGAAGATGCAGAAATAACTCCAGACATACTCAGCCACCTCATCTTTGACAAAGGTGTCAACCATCCTTATTGGAGGAAAGATAGCTTTTTTAATAAATGGGGTTGGAAAAACTGGGTTTCAACAGGCCAAAGATTAAAACTAGACCCATACATATCACCATTCACTAAAGTAAGATAGAAGTGGATTAAAGATCTAAATATTAAGACAGAAACACTAAACTTGCTGGAAGATAAGTTAGGTAGACATTGGCATAGGAAGAGACTATGAACAAAACCTGAGTAGCAGGGAAACTAGCACAAAGAATCAACAACTGGTATTTCATCTTATTAAAAAACTTCTGCACTGCAAGAAAAACCACCACCAGAGCTAAGAGACGACCTACAATGTGGGAAAAAATTTTTAGCAGCTGTACCTTAGACAAAGGACTACTATCTAGGATATATAAAGACCTGGTAAAAATCAGACCCTCCAAATTCAAAAACCCAATTCAAAAATGGGCATCTGAAATGAACAGACATTTCTCAGACAAAGAAGTAAAAGCAGCAAATAGACATATGAAAAGATGTTCAACATCACTGTTCATTGGAGAGATGCAGATGAAAACAACACTGAGATTCCACCTCACCCCAGAAAGAATGGCTGCTATTAAGGAATCATCCAATAACAAATGCTGGCGGGGGTGTGAGGAGGAAGGAACCCTTCTCCATTGTTGGTGGGATTGCAGACTGGTGCAACCACTGTGGAAATCAGTATGGAGATACCTCAAAGAACTATGGTTAGAGGTACCATTTGACCCAGCTATTCCCCTACTTGGCATCTTCCCCAAAGAATTAAAAGTATCATACCACAGCGATATATGTGCATCCATGTTTATAGTGGCACAGTTCATAATAGCTAAAGCTTGGAAACAGCCCAAGTGTCCATCAACTGGAAACAGGATAAAGAAGATGTGGGGTGCTTTATAAAATGGAGTACTACTCAGCCATAAAGAATGAGAAACTAGAGACCTTTAT